TATTATTGGTTTTTGTTTGCTAATCCACCGTGCCAGGCTCTTTCTCTTAATTGGTTAATTGAGTCTATTTACATTGTTGGTCATAATTGAGATATATTGACTTTATGATTAACATGTTATTTACCTGATGTTGTTCACTCCTTTTTGTCCTGTGTTTAATTGTTTGTTGTATTTAGTGGTTTTCTTCTGTTCTCATTCGTGGTGTTCGGATCATTTTGGTCCCTCTTTCAGTAGCCTCTGTAGGGTTGTCTTTGTCATTATGAAATTCTTTAGTTGTTTTTGTCATGGGAGTATTTCACTTCTCCATCAAACTTGAAAGAGAGTTTTGCAAGGTATAGTAGTCTCGGCTGTAATTTGCTGTCATAAAGGACTTGAAGTACTCTGCTCCATTCTCTTGCTTTCATGGTTTGTGAAGCGAAGTCGTTCGTAGTTCTGATGGGTTTTCTTCTGCATGTGATATGCTTCTTTTCTCTAGCAGCTTTTAGTGTATTATTCTTGTGCTGGATTTCTGGGATCTTGACTATTAGATGTCTCGGTTTGTTTTTAATTGGGCTGAGGTTACTTGGCATTCTGCAATCTTCATTTACCTGAATGTCAGATTGTTTTCTCATATTTGGGAAGTTTTCTGCTATTACCTCTGCCCATATTATTTTTAATGTCATTTGCATTGACTCCTTCTTTCTCATTGTTACCTATGAGTCTCACATTGTTCCTTTTTGCATTGTCCTGCAAGTGATGAAATATTTTTTCCTGCTTCCTAGTTGTTTTTAAGAGATCCGTTCTTACCTTTTCACTAGCTGCACCAGAAACTTCAAGATCTAAAACTCTGTCTTCACTTTTACTCAAACTGTTTTGCAAGCTTATGATTGACATTTTAAGTTCCTCTATATCTCTTTGACTCTGCTTCATGTGATCTATTTCTTTCCTGTATTGCTCATTCAAGGAATCCATCATTTTTCTAATCTTCTCTATATTGTTTATCAATGTCTTCTTTAGAAGCAGTTATTCTTTTACTGCAGTTTTTTTCAGATTGGGTTTCCTCCCTATGTTTCTGTATTTGATTTTTTTACTTCATCTGCTATGAGTTCAGAAAATTCTTTTTTATATCAGAAAAGAATTCCTCTCTGAGTTCTTCTATTACTTTCTGCTGTTGTGTATTTACTTTCAATGCTAACAATTCATACATTTCAGTTGAACTATTGTCCTCTCACTTGTTCTGGGTGGGCACTGGCTTTCCTCCATATGTTTCTGCCTTTGATTCTTTACTGCATATGCTATTAATTCAGGGATTTTTTTTTTTTCATTTTCCAATCTGAGTTCCTCTATACCTTTCTGCAGTTGTTTCTTCATTTCAGAAGCTCTTGATTCATTTATTCCAGCTGTGTGACTCACAATTTGTTCTGTGTTAGTGTCCTCTGCACTTGTTATGGGTGGGCTAGGGGTCTGAGACTGTATTTTGCTACTTCTCCTTGTCATTTTGTATAGCACTCTTTTCTGACCTTTGTTGTAGAGCGTTAGTGCAGTTATAAGATTAGCGCATACTGAAATTCAGGTGCAGATCTACAAAGTTTGAATTCATCCAGCTGTGCCTGCCTTGGATCTGGTTGCTGTGCTCAGCTCTTTCCTGCTGCTGCCCTTGCAAGTGAACCTGTTGTGCTCCTCTGTCAAGATGTTCTGCTCCTGGACTATCTAGGTTGTTCTGTCCCCTCTCTCTCTGCAGAGACTATAGCTGCACAGTTTCACCCCAGACCTGTATGCCATGCCTGAGCTGAGTCTGGAGGGGACAAGGTGGCGGGGGGGAAGCTCTCACACACACTCACCTGGTCTGGGCTAGGTCTGAATCTGGGGGTCCCAAGAATGTGGCCGAAGTTCTCACTCACTGGGCGGGAGTGGGAGGGACTGCGGAATGGTGTGTGTGGGGTGTCCCAAGGGGTTGAAAGAGTGTCTCACCCACACTGTGCCTGGGTTTGAACCAGACAGGTCCTGCCAGCATAGGGTAGCTGGAAGCTCTCCCACACACTCACTAGGCCTGGGCTAGGGCTTTATCTGGGGTCCCGAGAACACAGCAGTTCTCACTTGGTGATGTGGGCTGGGGGGGGGGTGCGCAGTAGTGGTGGTGGCGTCCGGACCTGGACTAGTGTTGGACATGGGTATCCGGAGAACACAGCAACAAGCACTTATTGTATTGAGCTATCTCCCTGGCCCATGGGAAGGTAATTAGAAGGAATCAATTAAGAAAGTTTTAGACAGAAATTTATTTATTTATTTATTTTTTAATTTTTTTTTTGGCAGAATTGGGGATTGAACTCAGGCCCTTGCGCTTGCCAGGTAAGCGTTTTTCCTATTGAGCTATTTCCCTGGCCCCTACAGAGAAATTTAGAACTCTAACCATATACAACATTCTATGGATAACTCATTACTATTGTAGACTACTGGACTATTTTGGATTACTCTGTTGAATTCATGCACCTACCATATATGAATGGCAATGGAATACCATCTCTGACAAAAGTAAACAACAAATGGGATATAAATGAAGGACCATTTTGCAGTGGGAAAAAATATATATCTGTATATACAAAATAGCATATATATAGAGGTATTTTCTCTTAGTTCAATGAGAAGAAAGTTTTGAATAGTGTTTAGACAAGATATCATGTCTTCATCTTGTACTCGGAATAACTACTAGAAAGACAATAATATGTAATGTATTAATTATTGTAACTGTACTACCAATCTGTTTTGAAACTATGTCATTGCTTCTTTCTCAATAAAATTATTTAAAAACGAAAAAGTTTTGAAGCTGAAAAACAGTAAAACCTATGAAGCAAGAAGAAAAAATAACTTTACGCATCAGAAGCAGATTGCAGATTAGCTGATAAATAATATCTGAAGTGGCATATTTGTGGGGTGCCACCTTTTATATGTTGTTGATTTGTCCATCTTTCTGTGGACAAAAAGATTTGTCCATCTTTTTGGTTTTTAAAGAGGGAAGATTCCTGAAGAGCAGGATAGCACTTTACAGAGATCCCCCTATATATCATACTTCAATAGATGACCATTTGGGTATGACAAACAACTTACTTTGACACTACAGGTTTTTAATTCTCTACAGATGACACTGTCAACAGCATGACTAATTTCCTCAGATCATTATCTTTGTCAGGTTGAAGTTCCTATTTCTACAAAATGAAGAGGCTGATAAAGGTCACTTTTCTAGGTCAAAGTACTATTATAAACAGATCTTCTAGCTATGAAGTATAAATTAATACATGCAATAGTTAATAGCTGTCCATTAAGATCTTTGAGAGCTATAGGACCTCAATTTGTTAAGTAGGGGCTGGGGAGATCACTCAGTGGAATAAGTGTTTATCTGGCAAGCTCAAGGGCCTGAGTTCAATCTTCGGTTCCAAGAGGGGGAAAAATTGCTAAGTAAATAGGTAAAGTATTATTTTTTGGCATTTCTTCCTCAGACTGTATTTTCTCTAATTTGTTTAGTCCCATATTAATCAATGTACATATCCCAACCTTTCTGTTTATGCTACCATGCAAATGTTTTTCTTGAATAATCAAATATAATTTCATGTAATACTTCAAGCATATTTCAGTTATGAATTATTTCATTATTACTATGACCAGAAGAAGTATCTGTCATCTACAAGTCTATGATTCTTAACTTTTACCACCTTGTATCATAAATGCCCTCTGATACATTTTTTCCCCAATTTTATAAAGGTAACACCTATGTCTGACAAAACAAAACAAAAAGGTGGATACAAATGAAGGATCATTTTGCAGTGAAAAAAAAATATATGGGTATATAAAGTAGGATAGATATACCTACTTTCTTTTAGTTCATTGAGAAGACTTGTACTAATATTGTTTTAGACAAGATATCATACCTGCATCTTGTACCCTGAATAACTACTATGAAGACAAAAATATGCAATGTATTAATTATTGTAACTGTCCTACTAACCTGTTTTGAAACTGTCTCATTGCTATTTCTTTCTCATTAAAATTAATAATGAAAAAAGGCAGAAACTCTCTTAGAACATCAACAGTGCACCAGTAGCATGCTCTGGACACAATAGGAACTAAATAAAAACTTGCCAATTAAATTATGTTGAAAATTAATGGAAACAAGTTAGAAGAACATGAAAGAAGAGTGCATGAACATTATACAAGATAACAAAAATGGCTCATCATGTTTACTAAATAAGCATTTTTTGACTATCCACCTTGAGTAGTTTTATTTTCTTATACAATTCCCTTTCTTATTTCAAATTCAAGCCTTGATGTTGAAAATATTGGAACTTTCCACTCAGCAAGAGTAATTCTGACAGTCTTTCCAGGAGGCATAAGAGCTTAGAAAAAGCACATAAAATGCTCTTAGAATATAAGATGAGTGACATAAATTAAAGCATGGGTAATAATGTAACAAATTGAAGACAGTTCCTGTTTTTCACTATACTAATTTTAAAAATTTATAGCAAAATCACACTACTCATCACAAATTGAATCTATTTAAAAACAGTGTGTATGTAAAAATAACCCCAAATAACTCAAATGTTTAGTATTACTCTCTAACTTGTTAAGGGCAGGAAAAAGAAAAAAGAAGATAGAGTTAATGGAACCCACAGGCTACTGATGTGGCAGTTTATCAAATGTAGTTGTAATGAAAGATAAATAATACAGGCAATTCACACTTCATGAAAGGATAAAAGTGTCAGAGTGTAGGTACCAGTTTTACTGCAGGCCATAATCAGCAAGTAAACGAAAGTGCAATGTCTAAAAAGTTTATAGCCTTCTATGAAGGCCTCGTCTTGTCAGGTATTGATTTAAGTATATAGACAACTTCAGTGGTATTAAACAAATTGAGTGTTTGTGAACTTAGAGGACATGTTCTATTTCTCTCAACAAAAGTTGCCTCAAGCTTAATGTGAAGCTGTCTCTATCACTCAAATTTAAGGAAAGAAAATGCTGAAATGATCTCTTACACAATTATTTTCTTCTTAAATAGAGGGCAATCCAAAGTGAATGTTTCATATTCTCCACCTTCTCCACATACATGAACTCCATACTTCTTAGAAAGCTGAAAATCGGAAAATAGAGGAACAGGAAACTTAAAATTAGACTGCAAATGCTCTTTTAACCTATATTATTTTATCCTACAAACATCCTGTAGAAATCTTTGACTCCAAGATACTGAAAGTTACATGAAAATAACTACCTGTTTAAAAGACAATGATTAATGTCATTTAAAAATTACCATAAAGCATAAGTTTTTCTAATGATGTGAAGCTCTTATATAGGTATGAGGAACTAGAACTTTATATCGGCAAAGCTTAAAAGCTACTATGAATTGTAGGAATGGTGCCAATTTTAGGTTCACAAGAAGGTTAAGGTACTGTGTAGTGAATGAAAATATATATAGCCAAATTGTACTGCCCCTGCCCTCTGACTTTTCTGTAGAATGGGAAAAATATGCTTTTAGAGATTTTCTCAGGGACACAGAGAAAAAAAATGTAAGGTCTTCCTGCAGGCCTGTGAACAAAAGGAAGTCACATACACGGCTATTATTCTTGAGACTATTATTTTTAGGAAACTAGGTCTAGTAAAACTAATGACATTCCAAAACTGTAGAAGGCCTTAAATAAGGGCCAACTTCAAAAAAGGTGGAGAGAGCTTGTAAAGTTATCAGTAAAACTTGACATTAAAAATGCAAACAAGCAAGTAAACAATAAAAAACCCATATGATTTATATTAAACTTAAGCCCTTCAATTCAAATGATTTTGATATCCAAAGGGGGGGAAAAAAACCCCAAAACAAACAAAAAACGAATTTCTGTATGTACATGGTTGGCATCGTACAGGGACACTCTGTCACTGGTTGTCCTGGATGTGAACCTTTTGGTTTCTGTGTTGAGGCTGAGGCTGTACCACTATGATTCTCTCACCTTCATTTTGAACGCTTTCCTAGCCCAAAGTTCTTGCAGCCTGGAGAAGAGTGACATTTCTAATGTTCTATTACTCTAGTGCTAGACTACTGCCTAAGTCATTACTTTTAGATACATAGTTACACATATATTTATTTGGTTTTCACAATTGTGCTACTACTCTGAATCCATTAAATTTCAACTGTGTGCCTTTAAGGGATTTAAAGCACAGTGAGAGAATTCTATTTCTCCCATAAGGATCTGGAGTAATGGGAACGGAGCTGTAAAACCAAAGAGGAAGAAATGTGAGGGGGGAAAAATGACACAGTGTTTTCTAAAAAAAAGTAAAGTAGATAAATTTTCATCTTGCTGGCATCAAGAAGTAAGATTCAGAAGGTCAAAAAGACAAGTGATGGTTTTAATGAGGGATTGGGACCAAATAACAGGAAGCGACTACTCTGTCATATTATACTAAATTAAATTAATACTTGCTTTACAATAAACACACAGGCACAATAACATGACATGGATTTCACGTATATCTGCCAGCTAGTGCTGATATCCATCTACTCAATTTTCCAGAAAGGCAAGAATGTACTCTCAATTGTATGACTTAACAGCTGGCTTCCTTAGGTGAGAAGTATGCTTTATCCATTAGTAGCTTTCTTTAATGCAAAGTGTTTCATTGTAGCTCTGAATTACTTTTATAATCTGTGACCAAAAATAACTTTTTAAATTAAAATTTGTGTATCTAACATACCCTTCAGAAATGGTCCCATCAGTCCTTAGTAAAAATAATGTAAGCTGCAATATTAACCTAACATTTGTTCTTATAAATTATTGGACTAATATTTTAAAAACTATTCATTTAAATCTGTACATATGCAGTGATATTTCCAGTTTACATAAAATATTTCTACAATATTTACTGAGTCCCTCAATTCTTTAACAACTCTTCATTGACCCCTTATTAGCCAATCCTTGATAAATGATGAAGAAAAAAAGGTGAACAAGAAAATGTAGGTCTTCCGGAATTCAACAAATACAATATATTGCACTCTATATTCTAGTGAAACAAAATAATGTGATTATAGAAATAATTTTACATATCTTTTTTCTATAAATGAATTAATATGTATAATCTTTACCTTTATTATTGATGGATCAGTGTAGACACACAGATTCCAAGTGAAGGAATTTGGATAAAGGACAAAGTGATTTTAGGGTTGAGGATCTAATGCCCATTTTATTTTATTTTATTTTTTTCCATGATTTTATTGAGAAACAAATAGCAATGAGACAGTTTCAAACCAAATTGGTAGGACAGTTTCAATAATTAACACATTGCATACATTCTTCCTAGTGGTTAATTGCTGTACAAGATGTGGAATTGATATCCTATTTACAAACACCATTAGAACGAATCCCTCTACTCATTAAGAGAATGTAACTATATATCTATCCTAACAACTTTGAATACACAGATACCAAATGGACATTCATCTATATCCCCTCTTTTTGTTAAGTTCCATCATTTAAATATTATAGGTGTGTAAACTCAGCAAAATATTCTAAAAGAGTTCAGTAGTCCATAATAGTATTGGGTCTTCCGTTTCACTGGCAATGTCAGAAATTGTTGACCTGAGTCCCCTATAGCTCAACTAATGCCCATTTCTATGAATCTTTTTTTTTTCTTTTTTAGCTCCTCTAAATTTTACTACTTTTAATTTCAAACATAGATTAAGTACTGAAGAAAAAAAAATCATCTTTATTGGTTTTGTTAGCCATCGCCAAGGCCCTGTGTTATCTTAAGAAAACCTTAGAACCAAACCTTGTAATGGAGGCCCAGTGTGTGAGTGAGATGACCCAGACCGCAGGCCCAGCATGTGAGTGACACCTTCTGGGGCCTGCAGGATCCTGAATCCATCCACAGCCCAGCCCGGTGTGTGACTAAGACGACCCAGGGACCGGTGGATCCTCATTTGACCCAGAGAGCAGGCCCTGTGTGTGAGTGAGACTGCACAGAGCCCACCAGACTGTGAATCAACCCAGAGCCCAGGCCCAGCTTAGAACCTGTAGCAGAACTCCCTGCAAAGAGGCTAGAGGAAACAACCACCCCACTGATTCATAAGCAGAACATCTTGCCAGAGTGGCAGAAATGGTTCACCTCCAAAGGCTGCAGCAGGAAGAAGTGGTGCACAGCAGCCAGACCCAAGCCACACACACCCACGTGGAGGAGTCTGAACTTCCTAGATCCGTATCTGGTACTAAGGTAATAACTCTATCTAAGCTCTACACCAAAGGTCAGAAGACCGTGCTGTAGAAAATGACACAGAAGGAACAAAATGCAGTCTCAGGCTCTGAGCCCACACAAAAACAAATGCAGAAGACAATAGCATAGAAGAAACTGGAAATCACACGCCTGGAATCTCTGAAATAATAGCGTCTGAAGTAAAGAAACAACTACAGAAAAGTATAGAGGAAATCAGATCAGAAATAGTTTCTGAAGTAAAAAAGAAACGATAACTATACTGAAAGAAGCACTAAGTGTTTCTAAAGAAGATACTTATAAAAATAGAGCAAATATAAAAATGATGGAATCCTTGAATAAACAATATAGGAAAGAAATAAAATGCATGAAGCGATCCAAAGTGATATACAGGAATTTAAAATCTCAATCACAAGCTGGCAAAACCATATTAATGAAAGTGAGAATAGACTTTCAGACCTTAAAAACACCATTGCAGCTAGTGAAAAAGTAAGAAAAGATCTCTTAAAAACAACTAGAAAAAAAAAAAAAAAACAAAACAAAACTAGGATGCAGGAAAAAAATCATTCAATACCTGCAAGATGATGCAAAGATGAACAACGTGAAACTAATAGGCATCAGTGAGAAGGAAGGAGTCAATACAAATGATATAAAAAGAATATGGATGGAAGTAATAGCAGAAAACGCCTCAAAAATGGGGAAACTATCTGACATTCTGGTAACCAAAGCACATAGAATTCCAAATAACATCAACCCTATTAAAAACACATCCAGACATATAATAATCAAGATTCCAGAAACTCAGCACAGGAACAGTAACTAAAAGCTGCTAAAGAAAAGAAACAGATCACATTTAAAGGAAAGCCCATCAGGATAAAAGGTTTTTCTTCACAAACCATCAAGGCAAGAAGAGCATGGAGCAATGTACTTCAAGTCTTCAAGAAAACAAACTGAAATCCAGAGTGATATACCCTGCAAAACTCTCTTTCAAGTATAATGGAGAAGTGAAATACTTCCATGACAAAGAACAAATTAAGAATTTCATGATGACAAAGCCAAACCTACACAGACTACTAAAAGTTGTTATAGAGAAGGAGCAAAATGACACCAACTCCATGAATGAGAATGGAAAGAATCCACCAAATAGGACAAACAATTAAACACAGGAGAATAAGAGGTATACAAAAGCAGTCTTTCATTTATTCTTTTGTACACAGCAGCAAGATATTCCCATCAGGGATATTCGATCCTACAAATGAACTTCTCCTGCACCTTATGGGTCACGATTCTGTCTGGGTCAACAAGGTGGATATTAAGGAAATAGCAATAACTCAGTCCCACAAGTGACACCTGGACACCAGTAAGTTATCCATGTCCACAACACACTAGAACTTTGTGCGATATCCTATCCCCAAACAGTTAGAAGTACTGGTCAATTATTTGTCATTGCAGTATTTATCTTATGTTTTATTCTCAGTATATCTTTATCATCATGAAAACTTTTTCTTAGTTCAATTGTTTTGAACCATTTAATTTTTAATTAGTATTTAATTTTCTGAATATTGCTTAATCTTCATTCTTGTTTCAAGATTTATACTGTATATTTGATTAACAATCTATATAAAAGACATGGTATGATATTTTCTCCTAGTACTAGAAACTTTAAGAAAGTATATTTCCAGACCTGTTACTGGTCGCAGCCCAGGCGCAGCGTGGGTGAGACCCTCTTCCACCCCCTTGGGACGCCCCCCACCACTGCTAAGCACCTCCCCCACCCCATCCACCGAGTAGGAATTTCTGCCCCGTTCTGGGAATCCCCAGACCCAGTCCTAGCCCAGGCCCGGTGAGTGTGTGGGAGAGCTTCCGACTACCTTGCGCCGGTGGGAC